AGGCTTATAGAGTACTAATCATGTGACAATTTTCTTATTTTTAGTATATTTCACCTTCATAAAATCAAAACCACAGCATCCATTGTCATTATCGGCTTGCATTGAAGCATGCTGCCTTGCACTGCAATTTTTAAATGAGTGTTTAAAATCTAAAATATTATAATTTTTGTACTCACTGTGTTTGTCTTGGTACTCATTTCACCCTTGTACTGATGAGGGATATGGTGTGTGGCAACTTCAGACAAGAATTCCAATTTAGGCAGATTTTKTATTATTATTCGGCCAACAAGTGCARTGTAGTTTTCACGCTGTGAAAGGCTTTCTTGATGGTCTGGTATGCATTTTCCATTCTCCATCTCTAGAATTCCATCTGGTGGCTTTTCATCACTCAGATGGTTACCACTCACCCTGTTTTCTGTAGACATGACAGTAACACAATGTTTGTCTATGTTCTGATTTTCTTCAGTCATRTAATGTACTTGTTGGCGAAAGTCAAGATTATCAAATGTTAACTTTCGGCCTGCATCTGGAGTGCTTGGTAAATGCTGCGATTCTGTATCAGTTGGGACACTGTTTTCATTAGCAGATTCCTGTCTTTTCTCCATGTACTTTCCCTGAGCATTTACTGCCTCCTTAATTGCTTGTGTATGGTCTTTACCAAATTCATCAAGTTTATTGTAGAAGTAAGTATGACTGGTTCCAAGAGACAAAGCTTTAAGTCTTGCAAGTGTTGTCTATGTATAAGTAGAGGAAATAAGGTAAGTAAAAATATCTTGAGAGTTATGATCATAATTTATCTGTTTGGTATTGACATATTTGGAAAAATGAAAATTCAGTGCAAATATAATATAAACTGTGCCACTGTAATAGGCTAAGCCTTTTTCTGTATCAAGCCATGCATTCTAAATATACATTAGAATTTATAAAGTAAATAATGTACTTTTTGCATATTATRAGGTTGAACACATCATCATCACCATGAAGTAGAATATTACTAATATRTTCTGGATTACTCACCAGCCAGTTGGAGTGATATAAAAATGTTGTGATGAGCAGTTGGACTGCAATCATTTCCCTGCATCTACTTTTAAGGCATACTGCAGCAGCCATAGCTACTGCAGGGAAACTKTCCTTTGTATTAGCCTTGGTTGCAGCAGTTTTTGATTCATGGTTCTTGGTTTTTGGTTCTTGGTTTTTAGCCTTGGTAGTTCTTGAAACAGTTAATGAGTTGGTGCAGGATTTTGTCAACACAGAATGGAACAATGGCGCCCTCGTCTTTACCTCCCTCGAAACCTCCTCCATCGTCAAGCTTCGCATGCTCTCCTTGTCAGTTTTCCGTAAGCACGAAGGATCTTTACGGCTACAAAGGGAAGATGTTTCTTTTTCTATTTCTTTAAGCATCAAGTTAACAAGCTCATCCTTTAGTCTTGAGACTTTCCATGCCGCGCCAGCGATCTGCTTATATGTCCCGCGGACAAGCATCTTCCCCAAAGATTCGAGATCTTCTGGAAGCTTTACCTCCCTGTCTTTTGACGGCCAAGCTACACGAACTTTAACGTCCACATTTTTTTTTGGCTGATCGATATTCTGGTCCTCCTGGTTTTCTTGTCTTAGCGGACTAAGAGGACATCTTGGCTTGCGAATTTTGCCCGCCGGTGTTGAAGTCAATACTTTTGTAGGAGAATTTTCCCTCGATTTTTTTGGAGGTGTCGTCGTAGCTACATCATCGCTTGCGAGTCCTGGTCTTTTGCGAGAAGCTTGTTCGTTAGAGTTTAAAGTTTTCTGTGTCAGTAGTTCTTCTAGGCTTTTTAGCTCTTCGTATAGTTGTCGTCGTCTCTTTAGCTTTCGAAAACACGCTCGACAAATGTGCTTCGATGACGGCTCRATCGAAAGGTTTTTTAGCTCTTTAGCTACGTCGAATTTTCCTTTTCCACTTATAGAGAGTCTATCATAGGTGTTAGGTATAAAACAAAAACATAAACTACAGGAAACAGATTCCATAAAAATCAAAAACACGGTCTTTAATGAATGTAAACACTTCGCTTAGATCTGTCAAATATTCACGTGCTGACCCGGCTTCGCGCGACGGTGTTTGTTGTGACAGGTCATTAGCCAATCACCGATCGTGTTAGAATTCGAATTGGTAACAGCCAATCAGAAATCGCTTCATATATCGTTGCTAGTCCGCTGGGGGTCGGAACAAGCTTTTCGACGCTGTTTCACAGACGGACTTAAC